GATGGCCCCCACACATCCGAGTGAATCAAAGCAAATGGAACTTGACTTTTATTCATACTTAAGGGATAGATKGTTCTATGACTCTTAGCTAGGATGCAAGTGTTACATTGAAAAACATGCRGCTGTATATATGAAAATAACTCCGGAAATAAATGTCTCATATAACTGAATGATGGATGTCCTAACCGGCGATGCCAAATCCAAATCTGTTGTTCCTTGGTGCTACTTTGATGATGTGTATGATGCGCTTGACCTGTGCTAAGATCATCCATGTAGTAGAGCCCCCCTCGCCTAGTACCACGCCCAATTATCTCCTTGGTGAGAATATCTTGAAGAAGACAGAAAGTGGGATAAATGAGCACAACACAATTTAGATCAGAGGAGATTTGACTAACAGATAGTAATTTATGGGAGAGCGAGGGAACAAGCAAGGTGTTTTTCAAGGATATCGCAGGTGACAAGGTCACAGTGCCTGCTCCTGTGACTTGAGAGATTTCCCCATTGGCATTAGCAATTGTAGTCCGTCTTGGTGGTGAAGTCTTTGAAAAATCAGTAGCATCATAGGTCATGTGGATAGTACTTTTCAAGAGACCCTCTAGACTGGCGCAAGCGGGTCACATGGCGCCGGAGATTGTATACTTGCGAGGTATCACTGCCATCAAAGTACGTAGTAGCCACAGAATCCCACACCATCTTTGCTGTAGGGAATCGAACAAAGTTACCAATCAAGGATACGTCCATGGAGTTAATTAACCAACCTTTGACAATAGCATTGTCGGTGCGCCACCTTCGAAAGGTTGGGTCAGTCTATGGAGGCTGAGGAAGTTTGCCATTAATATATCCCAGTTTGTCTCTGCCATAGATATACATCTCAACAACTTGGGACCAAAGGGCATAGTTGGTGCCATCCAACTTAATACCGATCTGAGCGGCGGAGGTTTCTGCAGTTGAGATCGATTTGTGCAGGAGTTCAGTCATTATGGTGGTCAATTCAGTGAGAGTAGGAGTAGGCCGTTGTTCTCCAAACGGATCTGAGGTTTCCGAATCAGACATGATTGTGCCTACCGAAGGGTGTTCTTGCCGATGGCGTCGCGGTAGTAGAAGGAAGTCAGTAATCTCCCCCAACGCTGAGTGTCGGGGAACGGTGTTCGGTCGTTGCAGATCGCGAAGAGACAGGTGGATTGCAGCGGCAGTAATAGTTGTCAGCCACCGGCGACCACGGTGGAATCACAGCTCTGATGTGAAGGAGATGAGGGCTGCGCTTAGCAAGAGTTCACAACGGCAATATCAGCGGCAGTAGTACCTGCCGGTCTTGCAACGACAGTAATAGTAGCCAACCACCGAGGTCCATGGTGGGGTTGATAGTTCTGGATAGATCCACTGCCGGAGTTGCAGCGGTAATGGCAGCGGATAGAGCCACCGCCGGACTTGCAGCGGTAATAGCAGCGATCACCTCTCGGCGACCAAGATTTCGCAGCGATCAGGACCTGTAGCGGAGATAGCAGCGGTCACCTCCCGATGACAAAGATTTCACAGCGACCAGGATTTGCAGCGGTAATAGCAGCGGATAGAGCCACTGCCAGCGACCAAGATTTTGCAGCGATCAGGTCGTCGAGTTTATCACAGATCGGTATGCTCTGATACCATGATAACTCGAGTAGAATGAGAAACTCTTCTTCCTTTTTCCTTATTGTTCTTCCTTTGCAGGGAATATATATATATATATATATAATACACACCTCTCTTAGTTATTATGTAAATTTTGGTTCTACCTCTCCTAGTTACATGCAAACTTAGGATGAGATTTATCCCTGAATTCAAGGGATATCTAATTTTACAGCTCACGCCAATACAAATTTGGAGTTGTTCGATATCAGCTCTAATAAGATTTCTGGGTCCATCCCTTTATGATTGTGTGAAGGTCCCAATAAGAGCTTAAAGGAGCTGTATCTTCAGAACAATCTCTTAATGGATACTATTTTGGCAGCTCTCTGTAACTATATATTCTCTGCTGGCTTTTCTTGATCTCAGCTTCAATTACCTCACAAGGACAATCCCTTCAAGCTTGGGTTCCCTATCTCCGCTCTATGATTTGTTAATGTGGATGAATTAGCTCCATGGTGAGATCCCATCGAAGCTCATGTCCATTAAAATGCTTGAAAATCTAATCCTGGATAGCAACGGTTTAGCTTGGACTATTCCTTTCTGGTTTAAGCAGTTGTACTTCTCTGAATTGGATCTCCTTGTCGAGCAATCAACTGGGGTAACATCCCATCGTGGATTGGTTAGTTGAGCAATCTAGCAATCCTCAAACTTGGAAACAATTCGTTCTCTAGTGCCATTCCTCCAGAGCTCAGGGACTACAAGAGCTTGATATGGTTGGATCTCAACGACAATAAATTGAGTGGGTCCATCCCTCCTACCTTATCAAAGCAATTTGGAAATATCGTTGTAGGGTTGGTTGCCGGGAAGAGGTATGCGTATCTCAAGAAGTATGCTGGAATCCATCGAGAAGGGTTGAATAGAATCCCACCCAGTACACTTTCAACTGACGAAAAGGGCAAAACGGTCTAAAAAAACAGAAGAAGGGTAGTTTTGGCATTATAGAATGCTTAACTGACGGAATGCTAACAGGTGGATCCAAGTGTCTATTTTTGAATGTTTAAGGTACTCAAGTGCTGCAATTGAAAGTTCAGAGTACCTATTTGTCACTACTCTGGCTCAAAGTTTAGTGTACTTATCTATAATCTATCCCTTTTTTGAAAACGTCACTGCACTGGCCCAAACTATCTCAATTTATTTATGCAAAAGATGTTAGAAATGAAATCATATAAAGGAACCCAAGAGAMGAGGAGTAACTCTAATAGGATAATAGGAGATAAAATGATAGAAAGTAAATTGAGATAGTTTGGTCACATGCATAAAAGACCATCTATAACACTTATTAGGAAAAATGATTTATTACAAGCTCAAGGGTCTAGAAGAGTTAAGGGCAAATGAAAAAGAACTTGGGTTGAAATAATCTGAAATGACTTAAGCACCCATAATTTAATGATGGATATGCACTAAATAAATGGAATAGCGAAAAGGGATTGGGTAACCAACCCCATATAGTTGGGACTAGGCTTCAATGATGATAACGATGATTTGAGTAGTTTGAAATAGGGTTGTTCATTAAATTTTGGTTGGCTTCAATTTAGTTATTATGTTAACTTGAGTGTTGGATTTGTTTTGGTTTGGCCATTTGTAAATTAGTCAAAACCAACTTGACCTGACCATAGATACATATAATATTTTATATTTTAAATTTAATTTTTTAATATGGGAAAGTGGGAAATTCCCATATTTTCTAGTTTAAAATATTTTACATTGTAACTTTTACTTTTTTAAATATACGTTTTGATAATATCATTATAATTTTTTAATTTAATTTCTTAAATTTAAACCTTTTGAACCAATCGACCAAACTAAAAACTGACCCAAATCGATACAATCTGAGTTAGTTTTCATCAATAGTCGATCAGTTTCAGGTGACCAACTGCCCAATCCAATCAAATTGGTTCGGTTGGCTAGACAACCTCTAACCAAACTGAACCGACCAATGAACATCCCTAGTTTGAGAAGAAGTATTTCTCACCACATTTTGTCATTATGTCAGCTCAAGCCCAAATTTATAATCTGGATTACCATTCTTCCATTATGCAAGGGAACCTCTCACATTGAGATCTAATCTATCATCGTTCAATGGATCAAACCACTCCATGGCTTTGTGAAAATTATTGTTGATTGACTGTTGGCATTGTTATTTGAGTTTGATTTTCCTCCTCATATAATTGGTCTTACATTTCTTGCAGCTGCACATTGGCAACATCTCTGTATATATTCGTGTAGAAATGTTCCCAACACACAGTTACAAGTGTTGTTAGGTGCAAGGACCAATTTTGTGAGGAAGAAATCTGGATTCTTTTTATTCATGGCCAAGATGGTCATTTTTATTATGGCAGGTGTATAATATAGTATGGTCAATGTATGCTCTTGGAAGTAGAATCTTTTGTTGCTTTTGTGATGGGCTTTGTTTTGTAGAAGAATTGGGTCTCTCCCAATGACTCCTAAGTGTTATTATTTCCTTGCAAATTGTAGACCTGTTCATGAGCTAGACTCAGATTTAACTTTTGCCAAAATTTGAATAAACCTGAACATGAAACAATGCAAAATTGAACCTAAGACTAGGCCTATGAACAGGTCTAGTGGACATTGAACCACCATAGCTAGTGTATGATATTATTATTCCATCATGCATGAAGCTACTTCATCATCGCTATCCTTTACTCCCGGATTTGGGAATGTTGTTGCTCATGTTCTTTCTCTTCAGAGTCTCTCTTTTGAGAGGATTGCCACGGATGGTTTGTCATTCCCCATAATTAGAGGCTTGTGTTGTAATGATTTGTATGACTATTGATGATAATGAGCATAATCAAATATTAGCTTTGGCCTTCCCAAAAAATTGTATAATGCACTTTCACTATTTACTTGTATTCATATAGGTTATTAGCACTACATGAAAAATGACTTTTAGTGGCAGTCAAAACTGTTGCTAAAAGTCCCAAAAACTGCCGCTATATGTTTTACCGGCAGTCAGCAAACTGTTGCTAAAAGATATGTAGTTAGAAGTTCTAGCAGCAGTTTTGCGACTGCCGGTAAAAATGAATGGCTACCGCTAAAGCTACTTTTAGCGGCAGTTTCAATTGTCACTATAAGATGATCTGGCTGCCGCTAGAAGTCTAAGACATTGTTTTAGTAGCATCCACCTGCCACTAAATCTATATTTCATATAAATAATCTATATTTTTTATATTATTCTTATTTTGTCACTGGATTATTGTAATCACACACTTTATTTCTTGGGTATTACAGATTAAAAACTAATAAAATGTCCAGTAGTTAGTGAATAGTATGGAGAATGATCACCGGTGATCTGATTGCATACATGGATCTAAATTTAAAACTGAATAATCTCATATGTTACCCATGTCAATTCAATACAACAACTTTGACCTTAGGAGACAATCCTGGCTGTAACTCATTGAGTGGGTCCATCAATAGAAATTGACACAGACCAAATTTTGGTCCAAATATTTTGTACCAATGAACTTAATAAATATAAAACCTTATAAACAACTTGATAGAGTAGTTTAAAAGATAAGAACATTTCCAAGTGATAATAGATTATTAATTGCCATTTCAAAGCATTTTAAAGTTTCACCCAAATAATTAGACTCTACAGCACTACACATGGTCACAAAAGAGCCACCGAGTAGCAGCAAGACATGCATTTTGTTAGAATGAACCACACATCCATGACCATTGAGTACTACATACATCAGACCAATCCATGGCAATTGGTCTTCATACCTACAACAAAGAAGATTCACAAAAGGTGTCAGTAATGGGTCTGATTTGAATTGTCAAAACAGGGATTATTTTTTATATACAATTCTAAACAAGGTAGGGTTGTCATTGGGTTGGTGGGTTAAGTGATAAATCTGCACTATCACTTGATCCTATCCTATCTGGTCCAGTATTTATTGGTTCTCAAGACATGTTTGGGTTGAGAAGAATCCATGCTAAACCCAGCCCATTGACATTGCAGAAAACCAAATTTGACCGGATCAGGTTGCCTTCAATTTTGATAATTCCTTCCTATTTAGTCAAATCAATTTGGGTTCCAGGGTTAAAGTATTACCATGTCAAAGAAAAGTTGTATAGAAATATAATGAAGTCATTTCTGCACACAGACTACTAATTAGCAATTTCTATATCTCATCTAAGTCCATATAACATCATCTAGAAAAGTAACAACTATTAAATTCCAAATTGAATAGTTGACTACATAATTTCTCATAGAAATAGTTAACTACATCATTACTGTATACTAATGTAAAGTCATCCAAGAACAATGAATGACCTGCAATTCACAATTACCCAACCAAATCTGTCTCCCAAACTTCCAACGAAGTTAAAAAGGTTCCATGATCCATCAATGGTTGGGTAGAGACTGCAAAATGAAGGTTGGCTTTTTATTCATTTAGACCACCAAACAAACACCAAATTTGTAGCATTAGAGAGACTAGGCAATTGGTTTTTTATGCACTAATAGATAATCAGAGTGGTTAGAGCTTGTTGTTTATGAGAGAAATGAAGGTTGGGGGCTAGTGAAAATTAGAATCCCCTATTGAATTATTAATGAAAATATGACTTGGCTTTGATTCGGGTTCTCTTAGAAAACCTTGTAGTTGTCAATTCTTTCAATAGTAATACAGATTATTGAAGAAAAATCTCAAGCTTATTGGGCAGGAAGCTCAATACAAAACAAAAAAGTTTTATCTAATTAGCTCTCGATAGTATATTTAGAAATGGTACTTCTCTTCTTCTGTTTTGGTGGATTTTTTTGGGGGCTCCTAATTGGATGTCATGTATAGTTTTTCCCATTGTATAGAGGACTATGTTTTGCCTTCAAAAGAAAAAAAGAAAAAGAAAACAGAGGCCCATGCTTTTGACATCAATACATTTTACTATACTTTACCTTAAAGAAAAGCTGAAATGGAGCCAATTCTAAAGGGCTGAAAATGACCAAAGCACTTGGAAACTTATTGGTGGAAGGAGACCTGAGGATGGTAATGGGTTGGGTAAAGAACATGGAAGGATTAGGCAACTAGCTAATAGGAGGGTGGCAGGATTTCAGTGAGGAGTTCAAATTTGACCTTTATCTTATTTGTTTGTGATAAGTAAAATAAGGAAGTAAAATGATGTTGTCCCCACTTTATTTGTTTGGGAGTGAGGCAGGAAGATAGGAGAGTTGTTCAAGGAAGTAAAATATTCCTCATGGTTTCTAGCTAGTTATGGTTTTTTCATCAAATATTCCTCATAGATCCTTGAGAATGGAGATTTATTAATTTTTTGGTTCTTGATTTTCAATTATAAGGGCCATCCTAGCACCAAGAAGTGATCAATTATAGATTGAAGGGGATAGAAGAGCTAGGGGAAGGCCAAAAAAGAAAATGATTAAAGTAGCGAGAAATGATTTAAGAGACTACAAATTTATAATTTGACAATGAATATGATAATGAACAGGATGGAATGGCAGAACAAGATTCATGTAGCTTACCACAATATAGTTGGGCCAAGGCTTAGATGATAATGAAACTAATATATCAGTTAATAGATTACACATATACAAACAGTTTGTTCCCTAACAAATAAAAGGCCATTACCCAATGTTGGTACCAGCTATACAGGGTCTTGGGAGGGGTAGACTGTATACAATCCTAACCTCTGGCATCATATCAAATAGCATATAGAAATATTTATCAGCTGAACCGATTCTCTCTGCACCATGTACAAAAAGGTCAAAGAAAATGATATTAATCAACATCAAAGAACATTAAAGATGTTAACAAATTTTTATATGGAAACACAATAAGCATGGGCATCACGTAAAATGACTTGGTGTCAATGCTATGTGCAAGATTTTAGATGGTTGTAACCATTTAATGAACTAGACCTACAAATAACTCTCTTTGTATAATCAAGATGTAAGTTTGTACATTCCTAGTGTATAGGTTCTGTGTATATGGAGCTCTTATATTGTTTTTGTCTTAACATATACTTATACAACTTTAGCAAGAAAGAGAAAAAGAAATAAGAAATAAAACATTTAGAGAGATTCAATTAGAGATGAGCTTCAAGCTGTTTTGTAGGGGGTATAATTAGCTAAAGAGATGAATGTTGTCAAATAACTCATTGAGGGGGACTCAAAGTTGCTATTAGTTGGATAAGGAATGTGGATTCTATTGTATGGAGACCTAAAAGGAAGCTGTAAAGAGGTTTAAGTGGTTGACATCCAACATGACAGTAAGGATTCAGTGGGAAAGGTTAGCAAATAATATTTGAAACTTCTTATTGGGTTGGCTTAAATTTTCACTTGTTAAATCAACCAAAAATTTTGAAAGTTCAGATGATAGGGTTACTTTGGAAAAGTCACCTAAAAGCACTATGAACATGTGATCAATCATTTTTTTTATTTTCCTTCTGCATACACCCCTATATTTAGTTTTCATAAATTAGAACTTTTTATTTTTTTTTGGTGATTACTTGTTAAAAAGAAGACATCTTCTGAAGGAAGTCTTAGAGAAGGGATCTTAGCAAGGAATTTGAAATATACAATTACAAATTTTGTTGAGGGTATATTTTTTATTTATCTATATATGACTTTGGCTAGTATAATACACTTCAACTAATTTTAACCGATGGGGTTCTACATTTATTGCAGGTGCAAGTCGTCTTTGAATAATTTTTCTACCTAATCTAATGACCCAGTCTCTTCTTAACCAAAACATAAGAAGGGTTACTTCAATGTTTCTTCTTAGTGAGAAACATCATGCAATTATTTTATATCAAGATTCATTCCAACCTATACCCCTAGACACCCTGCCTCCACCACAAATTGGTGTAAATATTTGCAACTTAACAAGAAAATATTATGCAATTATTTTATATTAGGATTAAAACAATGTCTAATCTGAAGTTGAAAAGAAGAATAAACAAATAAAACACCACATAAAGGTGAAGTCACTGTGCAAACTAAATAGTAGAGATATTTCTTTTACTTTTCTATATATTAAACAGTAAGCCCATACTACTCTTGTTGATTTGGGGAAGACTACCAATTAATAGAATTTTTTTTTTAAATAAATGCCTTTTTTGATAAGAAAATTATTGCTTATTGGTTTAACTTATTTCCATTATAATTAGTTTCTTAAATAAATTACCATTCACTAGAACAACTAAACATCATTTAGCACTTTTATACGTCAATATAGAAATGAAAAATTTTTCCCCACAAGAAAGGTCATGTTTTTCAAAATAATTCTTGCAATGAAGCTTGTGCCATGGTATAGTGTTCTTCCAACACTTTTAGAGTTGAGCATAACAACAAATAAATTATGGCTGACCAGAACAACCAACCATCTCCAGTTGTGTAGCCCTAGGTTAGGGGATGGATACCCCCGTCATGTAACCCTTCAAAAAGATATAAAAAATCTATAAATGAAAACTCTTTTTATAACAATCACTTAGATGAAAAGTTGTATGTATCACCCAAAAATTTAATCAAGGATTATGAATTTACCGGCTTAAGCTTTGAAAAACCCTACAAAACCACAGGCATGAAGACTAATTGCATCAGACCGGAACTAAGAAGACTAATTGCATCAAAACAAAATATTAGAAACATAAGGAAAACCTTGGTAAAGACAATACTTAACTTGGTTAAGCCGTGGGAGATACCTGCAAGGACAAGACCTAAAGGTACAAAAACTCTTCAAGGACTAAACCAGATAGTAGGAAAACCTAATCGGGAATCTCTGTGACTTATGCTACAGAAACACCTGAATGAGATGCGATAAACTCCTTTAACTGGGTAAATGACCATTTGTGATCCTAAAGGTTCTTTATGACACAAGATGGCTAATAAAACTCACAACTTCTAAATTTTGAAAATGTAATCTATAAACCCAATTTATTGATCAAAAATCTAAAAACACAAGTTGTATTAGGTGAAAGAAGTGCTTGGTGGAGAACAAAAATAAAATGAAATGGTGACATCGACCAAATAAATTTACCTATTGTCAGATGCTGTCCGGTGGTTTTAAGCTCAGCCGAGAAGGAGACAACTATATGGAATTTGATTGAGAGAGAGAAAGAGACAAGTCTCAATTTGCATATTTGGTGGAGAACAGGAATAAAAAATGGTGAGATCGATCGTATAGAAACAGAGAGAGAGAGAGAGATTTACCTCTGGTCGGATTTCGTCCGCTGTGCAATGGTGTTAAGCTCAGCCGAGGAGACAATGGTAGTCTGAAATTTGATTGATCGAGAGAGAGATGACAGAGAGAGTGGGATATACATAAAGGGTGGGAAGAGAATGAAATGTGGAGAGAAGAGGTGCAAGGGAGGAAATCCTACTCTCAATTAGCCCCCTCAAAAACTGCCGCTAGAAATGCTTTTTCTTGTAGTGTGGGTAGAGGCATAAAAATTATTGCTAGAACATATCAAATTGTATGATAGATGCATGATTGTGCATTGACATTAATTCAATTCATGAATGTCAAAAAATAATCCAATAACAAGAAGTTTGTATCTAATTTAATTTTTTCACCAATCAAGCACTATAAAATCTATTTTCTCTTATATTTGATCTTAGAACCTAAATTGAAAAAAACAAAATTTCCTTTTCTCATCCTAACCTTTTTCATCTCATCCTTTCTTGATAATCAAACAGGTCATAAAGAAATCTTGCAAACTCTCCCCTACTTTATATTAGAGGGCCTCTTCTTTCTCCATTACCCCAACCTATCTTCTCATTGATTCACTCTCTCCTCAAAATGCAGTTTTTTACACTCCCAGTTTACCACCTCATTCATGTCTTTACCTCTCCTATTGGCCCACATCATAGTCATTTCAAAAAATCAAATCGTTAGGGAAGTTGCCAAAAATTAGATACGTAGACCTAATGGAAGCATATGGAATTGGATTCATGCTATATTCTTTCCCTTTCTTCCTATCTCACTTGAGAAATCATCTATCAAGCCTTCTCGCCTTTCTTAAACATACCGTCTCAAAAGCACATTGCATGGATAGTTCATCCTTTATGAATATCTCTCTTTAGAAAAAAAGGACGTAATAGGTGAAGTTGGTTTATTGCCTTCTTAGTTTTGTAACAGTTTGTGGTGTGCTCTTCCACTTTTCCCCTGTTTATCAAACATCATGTCTCTTTGAAGCACATTGCAAGGTACTTCATTGTTTTCCATTGTCTTTCTCTATTTGGGACGAAAAAACAGGAACTCTCTTCCATTGTCTTTCTCAATATAAGTTCAAGTTTTCAATGAAGCAACCATTATCAACTTCCTGCTAACATCATCTACAGCCAGTTCAGCAGATATGTCAATAACTTAACCTTTTCCTTCTTTTGGATGTCAAAACAGGTGCTTTACCCCCTCTTTTTGTTAGATTCTTAGATTGGATGCATGTCTTAGTCAAACTATAGAATTAGTCGCTAGACCAACTAGAGAATAATAAAAAGTGTTTAAATTTATACAAAAAAAGGAAAATATAAAAAAAAAATTAATAGTATAACAACAAACAACTGGTGGGGCATTGTTGTAGATGTTGGTAGTATTACTTTTAAGACCGATTGATATTTTGGCTTAGCTTGAAAGGGGTACAAATGCAAATATATAGAGTACAAAACCTTGTATTTTGTATTATTTTCTATGTATTTGCACTGTGCATATTTGTATTTGTACTATTTCCAAACTGAATTTGGATTAGTTGAATGTGGTGGATGTTCAGCAGCTTGTGGAACCAATGATGAGATTCCACGCCATTAATAAATTCATGGTCCCCACTATAAAAGGTGTGGGTTCCACAACCTGCTGAACAACCATTGCATTCAGCTAAACTTTGTTCTTCCAAACTAAGCCATTGGTTTTGYGCTTCAATGCCAATTTCAATCCTTAAGTTTCTGCTTCAACTCATAATTATTAATACAAGTTGAAACACTCCCTTGCCACTGGATCCGTGGTAGTTTTAAGCAACTATGAGGTGTAGGAATGTGTATGGGTGGCATTAGCCAATGCCAACACAATGGAAACCTTGGAAAGGTCCATCTATTTTATCTTGAAGCTCTGGGGATTAGATTGCATAGWGGAGATAAACAACAAAGTTGGCGGTTTGATTTAGGATCAAAATATGGCCAAGAGTGTTAACAATATTCAAAAATCCAATTTCGAATTCGAGATTCAATATAATCAAATCAAATTCAGATAATTTGAATATCTAATCGGTCGAATCCATATATCATATTCATATCGCACAATTAATCGGATTTGAATTCAAATATGACCTAATTCAATTCGATAAATATCTAAATTTGACCAATTATTTAATTCTTATATATAGTATGTAAAATAGTTAAATGTTTTATATAATTTATATATATATAATAATTAAATTATATACATAGCTTTTATATTTATATACTTAAAAAAATAAAAAAAAATATTTTATATATTTATTAATTACCTAAAATAATTAATTGGCCGAATCCGAATTGAATCAAATATTTAATCGAATTCAAATATTAATTTTCAATAACCATTAGATATCAAATGTTCTAATCAAATTCAAATTCAGATATTGCCTGATTCGATTCAAATTCGATCCATTTACACCCCTAAATATGGGTATGTTCCTCACCCAGACTCGTTGCTTTACTCAGTGAGTCTCAGGTTAAGAAGGAAGATATTATGGATCGGATTATGTATATTTTAATCCAATTCCAACCCTTAAAGACCAAGTTCTAATGTTGGTTCGTGTTTGGTCGTACCACACATGTTACAAGAACCAATTTAGTCCAGCCAGATTACTTATAAATAATTAATAATTTATTAAATAAATTCCTCTTATTAATAAATATAATAATCATAGTTAATAATAATTATTATAACAATCATTGATTAAATTACTATTATTAATAAACAATATTTATTGTTAACAGATTACTGTCATCAATTGGAATGTAATTCTCATTCCCAATGGAGGGGGGAGGAATGACCATTCCCTCAAATTTCGATTATGCCCAACCAAATTGTTAGAATTAGCAAAAATTCTTGAAAATTTACAAAGATTATTGACATGCATAAAAAATACCAAGAAATGTCATAAATAATAAAAAAAAAACTATAGTATCCTCAATAAAATAGTAATCCTCGTAAACTATAGACATTAAAGAATTTTCAATAAAACAATGATTCTCATAAACTATAGAAAATTACCAGAAAATTTATAGAACTTTCAAGAAAATAGTAAATTCAATAATTATAAAAGAAAATAGAATTTATCATTAATTACTTAAAAAATCAGAAATTATATGTAATTTTTAAAAATTATCATGCATCATTAGTAATTTATTGCTAATAGGAAATTCTCATAAATTATTGAAAATCAACAAGAATTAATTTCCAGAAAATCCCAAGAAATTATCAGTAATTATTGAACATTCTCATAAATTGTCACTAATTTATTGTTAACAATTGTTGAAAATACTGTAGTTATTGATAACCATTAACTGATTAAAAGTTATAGATAATTGCCAAAAAGTAGAGAAAATTACCATTAAGAAATTTTAGAAAACTATAGAATTTTCAATAATGTGGTGATTCTTATAAATTATCGAAAATTAACATAAATTATCAATAATTGTTGAAGACTACTAAAATTACTAGCAATTATCATAAATTATTAGTAATTACCAGAAATTAACCCTCTCTATTGGATATTGGGCACAATTACCAAAAAACTACCATATTACTCCTCTATTGATTCATATCTACTCCCATATTTAATTCCTATTAAATCTCTTATTAGATTCAAAAATTTCATGTTAACCAACAATTAATAATCTATTAATTCTTATAAAATCTTAGTTTTTTATCAGCACAATTTCTCCTATTAATTAAAAAATTATATGTCGTTGCTGATGTTTTTTTTTTTTTTTGATACAACTAGGAGGAAACAAAGAACTAAAACAAAAAAAAAGGCATATAGACACTAAAAAGAAGCATGCCGATTAATAAAATGACCCCAAGCATCACAAAAACAAATGTAGGTGAAGAGATGATCTACAAGCCTCAGACTAGAGAAGGATAATGCGTGACCCAAGCTTGCCAAACAATCTGCTGCAAAATTTTCTTCCCTAAACGCATGAAAATAGGAGATGTTTAACTCATGAGTCCGAGATGCTAACGTTCATTGATGAGATTGCATAAGTTCCATGGAGGCACCAAACATTCACGAAGGCAGTCAATAAGGCTAGAATCCCCTTCTATGATATATTTGTTCTAAGGAAATTTGGATGCAATGTGATGGGCTTCAAGAAGTGCCCATGCTTTTGCCTCATTTATCAAGCATTCTCCAATGTTTCTACAAGTCACCCATATAATTTGACCCCATTCATCCCTCATGATAACTCCAACAACTGAGGTGCCATGGTGAAGTCCATTTGTTTAAATTATCCTTCTTCTTTGGTTAAGGGTAATAGTTGACAAGCACCTAGGGGTCCGTTTGGTTTGTGATCGGAATCGGAATGGCCTATTCCCCTTGTCTGTTTGGTTCAAACAGGAATCGGAATCGGATTTCGATTAGTGCTGTTTGGTTCACCAAGAGGCTAGAATTAGAACCAACCACGGTTTCCAAATTTGCCCTAATAAAAATAAAAAAAAGCAAAAAATGCATGAAAATACAAAAAAAATGCAGAAGTTTTGCAAAAAAAAAATGCAGAAATCATAATAATTTTGCAACAAATTCAGAAAAATCATGAAAATACTCAAAATTCAGAAAAAAAAACAGCAAATTCAGAAAAAAACGTAGTAAAACGTAGTGAAAGTCGTATTTACTTGAGTTGGGATTTGGCCTGGACTTGATCGATGCAACAAGGACGAGTTTCAGTTGATTTTTCACCTTAGGTTTTTGTTGTGAGCCACAATGACGATCAGTAATGTGGACGGGGGTGATTCACAAGAGAAGACAACCTCACTAGTGTGGACTTTGCTTGAAATCTAGAAGAAAGATGGATTCTCTCGAGCGATTTTCGTTATAGATGGTTTTTCTTAACATGTGACAAAGAACAATAACATGAGAGTCCTTGGAAAACTGACGAAACCGATGGTTGACGAGAGTAAACCTAGAAATGGCGAAAAATTGCTGAACATATGTAGGAAAACTGGATTCGCGCCGCTACTGGATTGTCGTCTCATCGAGGAAGACGATGAACAAGTATCCGTAAATGTTGTGCTTTGCTCGCCGAAAGAGTGATAGGAATGATAAAGGAGATCAAGAAAAAATAGGGGAAATGGGAGAATGAGAAAGGAAAATGGGGGAAGAGAGATCAGAAGAGAGGGGTTTCGGTCCAATTTGCCGCTACAACGACCATTGCATCGACAAGGACAGAACAGAGGGAGGGAATGTGAGAAGAAGAAGAAGAAGAGAGAGGAAAGAGAGAAGAGATTGACCTCCTCATCGGAGATGGGGTTGACGGCAGTAACGACAACGGCATGGGATTCTTCTTTTTCACCGCAACTCAATCTCGCAGGTTGGATTGGAGGGTTTTTTGTCCAAAAAGAAAAAAATGGAAACTAATAGTAGAATGAAAATCACATTCCGGGGGAGGGGGTTGGGAATGGCCATTCCCACATATGGGGGAATGACATTTCGATTCCTTATTCCCATTCTGGTCGACCAAACATCCAGAAATGGAATGACCCATTTCGATTTCGATTACAGGGTCCTATTCCCTCGAACCAAACAAACCGTAAATATTCATCAAAATCTCTTTTAATGAATATGGGAGAATGGCATTCCAATTCCTTATTCCCATTATGGTCGACCAAACATCCAGAAATGGAATGACCCATTCCAATTTCGATTCTAGGGACCTATTCCCTCGAACCAAACAGACCGTAAATATTCATCAAAATCTCTTTTGACTTTACTAAATACTTAATCTATGGGAAGATTTTTGTTATTAAAAACCTTGTTATTTCGCCTTTTCCATAAGTTCCACATGATTAAGCTAACTTTTTCTAGAGAAAGCTTTGAATTATGTTTTGAATCAGCACTGGCAATACTATCCCACCAACATTCAATACTTTTCTCTTGATTTGGCACAAGAATAAATTCGCTACATCTTTGCCAGGTGTTTTAGGTCTTCTTAATTTACACAAAAAGAATAATCAACATTATCAACAAGATGTAATTTTTCAACCACGATTTTGTTAACAGTTTATTATTTTAAAACTAAATACATAAAGTATGAACTTTAAGGGAAATTTTCGGTTTCCAGATTTTGCTTAATCTCTTATCATCTGCATACACTCCACATAGCACAATATTCAATAGGCAAGAGTCCTCACCGCCACACTCGAAAAAATGAACATGTTAAAGTAAATAATATTGGGCTTTAGTTTTTTACATTTATAAAATTCTTCTGCATTTTCCTATGTTTCAAAAATATATTGATAATTTACTTTTCTTTTTTCAATTCATCATGATATGTAATTCTTTCTAATTTTTTGGTAAATTATCATGTATCTTAATTAAAACTGACCAGTCTTTTTCTTTTTAAATCTTGGAACGGGAACCGTTTACACATCTAAGAGAGAGAGAGAGAGAGAGAGAGGGGGAGGGGGAGGGGNGGGGGACCGGGGGAAGAAGGGAAATACCCAACTCAAAACTTTCATTTGATCATTTCTATAATAGCGCGCGATTCGAGGTCAACAGGTACCAATTATCGCAACAAAGGAAGCTATAATAGACCATGCAAAAACCCTAAAAAAACTCCTAAAAGAGAAGGGCAAGTAAAAAACACCAAGGTCTCTACTCTCTACTTGATTACAGCGGCCTCTGAAGCATCTTCCCTGGACGAAGAAAGTTTGGGGTCTCCGGTGGCGTCGTCGTCGTCGTCGTCGTCGGGATCCCTGGTAGGATCAGATTTGTCCATCGCCTCCCGAGCTTTGCCGAGAAAGGGTTTGAAAGCGAGCTCTATGGTTAACCACCCGAAAGCCAAGGCTCCAAACACCACGATTGCCGATTTCAGAGAATTCGTCTTCGTCGATTGCTTCATTTTTCTTTTCCTCGCTCGGTTGAACTTCCCGCACCTCTTCCTCCTTGAAATCGAAAAAGAAGGGCATAAATAGGGCGAGGGCAATCTTAACGAAGAAGGCATCGTTTGGTTGACCCAAAATTAATGGACTATGTTCTATGTACGCCCCGGCTCATCTCCGTTCGGCTCAAGGTCAAACAGCGGGTCCTCCTGGTCCAACCATCTTAAATGACCTGTACGGTTTGGGAAAACGGTGGGTGCAGTTTGGACGGCTATGATTATGCTTGGCTTCATCAGAGCTTGGTCCCACCTTGTTGATCTGATGATCATAATCTCCTCTAATGTTTTCAACGTTTGAGATCTTGAGGGGGGAACACAAAGATATCGGATGGTGAAGACGTGAAGTTTTGTCCTACTTGTAGGCCCGGCCCCCCCATGGAAACGTGGCACTGGAGTTGCGTAATGCGCCCCCTGCTTCAGGCTTCAGCCATCTGTTTATTTCATTTCTACTTCCTAAATGGTGCAAAATTACGGACTCTCAGGTGCCCATCAGCGTTCTACCCAAGGCAAAGTTCTCATCTCTGTTCTCATCAGCTTCTGCTTACCTTTCTCTTCTTTGAATTGGGAATCTTATTCTGTTCTCTTTTCTCGTTAATTTGTTCTCAGTTACAGTTGATATCTTACAAAAACGTCTATGCTGCTTCAATTTCGTCTGTGTTGTTGAAGTTCAGGAGGTTCAGAGCCAGCTTTTGTAAGGTAAACTTGCATTCCTTTAAGGATTCAACATTCGAGAAGAGTTCTGTTCACGATGTTACGCATACCATCGAATATTTACTATTTTACTCAGCTTAATATATCTTAGTATCTTCTTTTGTTGTAACAGAATTAGATTAAATTGGTCGATTCAGATTGTGCATTTGCAACAGCAGCTTAACATTACTGGTTCCGTTGGTTCATTTCAGCTCTAGATTATCCATAAAAAAACTGACACGAATTGTCTTCTATTCTTTTGGCATTTAGATAATTTCCTACTTGCAAGTGTCTTGGCTTGTCAATGCCAATAACTTTTCTGTATACCATCTTTTGATTCACCTTCCTGCTCGTAAACTTTTTCTGGAATGATATGACTGCATTTGTCTCCCGTTCTTATGCCCATTTTAATTCATTCGTGTGATGTAAATGTTGAAGTTTGAATGCATTGGGATCTTGAATTATGTTACTCAGATGTAGCACAAACATGATATTGATATTGGCTCGGATACAGAATTTATATTGGAATTTAAAGTATCAAACATGAAAACGGAGCTCATTTGAGTCATTTCTAGGTATTCAGTTAACCTAGATTTTAACAATAATAGGTGTTGGTAAATTTTGCAGGTTTTATTGAACTATTGTGCACTTTGTTCTCGTTGCCATCAAAGCTGTTTCTCAGTTGTCTTGTTCTCCCATTCCACTCTACCAGGAGAAATATCCAATATTGAAGCATACACCATCAAAGGGTAATGCCCATTTGCACAGACTTATTAAACAATTCTCATGAATCCTTCCTTAACTTTCTGGGATAGCCCAAACAATTCTATGTTGGCCTCCTCAGCTATTTTTAGGAGACAACAGTTCTTGATAAGATCTCTGGGAGGTCATAGCAGTAACATACACAGGGAAAGGATGCAAGCAATAAAGTGTGTTAGTGGATCTGCTTTGGAAGCTGATGGTCAGAGCATTTTAAGAGCAATAGTACCAACCTTTGACCCATTTCGGTACAAAGGACAGGCAGGTGAGCTCCTATTTATTGTGAGGAGCATTGGTGGTTGACAATGTCTACTTACCATTCTCAATGAAGTTTACTTGTTACTTTTCATATTTCTAGGATTTATTTTGTGATTTTTATTATACAGTACTTGATTTCTTGTAAATTCAATTATTTATTTTTGTTTTGGATATTGTGGAATGAGAATTATCTCCTTCTTGAATAAGGAAGATTTTCAGGTTTCTTGTAAACGAAATCACACAATGGGGGTTCACAAAGATTGGAATATATTATTACTTGATTACACACCAGATTCAGGATAGAGACATTGATAAATAAATTAGTATATCACTATTTCTATTATTAGATATATTGCTTCACTTTTCCTGTCCTTTGGGATCTATTTAGAGTCTTCTATCTTGTATTTAGATTTCTCTCTGAAGTCACCATGGGGTTGGCTTGGATTGGTACTTGAAGTGTAAGAAAGCATTGCAATTGATGGATGAACTTGGGGATACTGGATAGATAGCTAATCAAGATAAACTTCTATTAAGACCTAAATCAAACCAAAGAAGCAAGTTTTGCTGCTTTAAATGTAAAGAACAAGTAGGGCAATCATGTTATTCTCTTTTATATTTGACTTTTGAGTTAGCTAAGGTAATGATAGTTGGGGATAGGAGAGTTGATATTATTCTTGTCATCATTAGGTCAACCTGATTTTGACTTGTTGATCCAACTAGAACTGTCCGGGATGTTCATTTTCTATTTGATCTTGGAGTTGGTTTTACTAGCAATTATTCAAACATACGTGTTCCTTAGAATACAAATTGTATTACGGACCTTTGCTCTCGTTCATGTGGGTTAAAGTGATTTATTTGTTTGTGTTACCCCATTCTGATAGTTTGATTCTGTAACTTATATTTCCACAATGTCTAGATACATATGCTATTTGATTTATCTCCCCTGCATCAATTAGTTACCAAAGTTGTTCATCAGGAAAGGTTGCTGTAATTGGTGGATGTCGTGAATACACAGGGGCTCCATATTTTGCAGCTATATCAGCATTAAAAATTGTTTGTACTCTATCTCCTTTCTTTCAAAAATGCCTAGACTTTTTATGTGCTTATAAATTTAGTGTTTATTTAACTTATGGTAATGCTTAATGAGATTTCTTATGTGTTTTACAGGGTGCAGATTTGTCCCATGTTTTCTGTACAAAAGATGCTGCTGGAGTTATAAAAAGCTACAGCCCAGAGTTGATTGTGCACCCTGTTCTAGAAGAATCATACAATATAAGGTGAATTGTTATCACTAAAGCATTAACCTGTTCAACTATCTATACTCTATTCTATGAAAGATTTTGTAATATTTGTTAAAGAACATATTTAGGGATGATGAGAAAAGTATAATCTCTAGCAAGGTTCTTGCTGATGTTGCAAAGTGGATGGAACGATTTGACTGCCTTGTTGTGGGTCCAGGCCTGGGAAGAGATCCTTTTCTTTTGGTGTGTTCTTTTTTGAATGCTTCAAAGTTTCAATCATTTTCAACCTGCATATGCTGGCACCTCTYTAAGAACTCTATAACACTTATATAACTTCTACAGGACTGTGTAAGTGAAATCATGAAGCATGCACGACAATTAAATATTCCAATTGTTGTAGATGGGGTATGACAACTTCTATTCTACCTAGGTGTTCTTTTACTATTTTTTTGAAACTAATCTAGAGAAGCAATTAGTTATTCTTTTTTTAATATTCCATATGCATGTTTCACAGGATGGACTGTTTCTTGTTACTAATAATCTTGACCTGGTTAGTGGGTATCCTTTAGCTGTTCTGACTCCAAATGTGAATGAGTATAAACGCCTTGTAGAGAAAGTTCTAGACTGTGAGATTAATGATCAAGATGCTCCTGAACAATTACTATCTCTGGCAAGAAGGTAACCATTTTTCCAGTTGATTTTAGAGAATGTTTGGGTTGGGTCCGCCCAGACCCTATAGACATCAAGGTCACCTTTGAAATGTAAACAGTTCTTCTGAATTTTAACTTTCATATATACAGTTCTTTGTAGAGAAATATTGAGTTCAGGATGATGGATGATACCCCCATAGATATATTCAACCGTTCCAAATTTTTTCTATGTACTGAAAATATGTGCAAAGATCTAGTCATATGGTTATTTCATTGATCAAGTGACTTTTAGACTTCCAATATTTGCCATATGGAGTTTATTGTATGGTGGATGTTTGCTTTTTTTATATGACAAATTGATGGTTATGTACCAGAGACAGTGGCCTGGTCTTTTAGGGGAGCCATGAGGAGATTTAAATGGCTAACCACAAACATCTCTGTCAGTTTTCAATGGGAAAGAAGATCGGAAAATGGGATGGCTGATTGTCTAGCTGAGCAAGGGGTGCATAGGAATCATCTTTTTGGGCTAATTTGTCACTTTTTGGGTTATCTTGAGGCAGCATCTCATGCCTCTTTGAGGGAAGAAACACTTGTGTACTTCTTTATTGATTTTTATTAATTAACAAAGTTCTATTACTTATCAAAAAATGATGGTTATGTTTGAATATGAAGCCTTGTGATGTACTTTTACCAACTTTCAGACTTGAGTATCCCTTCTATATGTAGATATCTGGTGGTTTATATGGCCAAATGTTTCCACATTGCCATGTCTATATAATTATTTGATAAGGGTGAATAGTATATATATTTACTATGAAGGATGGCAAGAAGCTCTCAAAGCTGTACAAAAAGATGTCTGTATGTGTATTCACAGCACACACGAAAAGATACTCAAATATCAAAAAATGATTGAGCCCCAATTGTCTCTAATCAGAAGCTTTAACACCCACAAAAATATCAATAATTGCTTCAACCAGAGCTGCCTTGGTTTCAAAGACCCTGAAGTTTCTTTCTTTCCAAACAACCCAACAGATAGCTGGTGGAAGGATTCTCCATAGGAGCTTCCCTTTGGCTGAGAAAGCACCACCTCTTCGTTAAGATAACAGGTCTGCCGCTAATGGTGCCAACATCCAAGAAACATGGAAAAGCTGAATGAAATGGACCAGACTGAGTAAGTGATGGGCAATGTAGAAGAAGGTGATTCAGTTTCAGGGCAACCCAACAAAGGCAACACAGGTCATCCAACTCCAAGGCCGTACTGCACCTCAACAAACACCAACTGTGGATCCTTTCTCTGCTAGCTGCCCAGAGGAAGAAGACCTTACAAGGAGCATGCACTTTCCAAATCCAGGATGAGGGGATTTTCAGAAAAGTCCCAACAGTGGTTTGATAACAGGATTTGGTGGTGAATGGACCAGGACTCTCCTTGGTCCAAATACAACAGTTATTGGAGTTGCGATCCATATGCAGCCTGCCAAGAAACTTCAAGAGAAGATAACTCCCAATCATTCATGTTCCTTTGGAATCTAGGCACTGACACAAATTGATTATTAACCAACTCTGCATTGTTCCTCATAAAGCTATCTTTATTAGAGGCAAAGCTATAGAGGCCTGGGAACATGTCAAGAAGGTGTAACTCCAAGCACCATGCATCTTTTCAGAAAATAGTATTGGTCCCATTACCCAGTTTTAGTTTGACATGTTTAATGAAGTTTAGCGTCAAGTTCATGATTCCTTTCCATAAACTTGTGCCATAAGAGTGTTGAGGATAGAAGGTGGACTGCCATGAGAGCATTACACCATACTTAAATCAATAACTTGCCTCCACAAATTGGTTCTTTCCTCACCATTATCTCCAATGCCATTCACTAAGAAGGGCGGTGCCGCGGTACATCAGTTTTAAATTTCTAAAAACCAATTCCACCTTTCTCCTTCAACTTGCATAAAGAGTCCAAGCCACCATATGAAGTTTCTCTTCTCATTGGGGCCACCTCCACCAAGAAAGTCTTCTGCTGCCTATCCAATGATTTTGCAACTGAAGCCGGCATTGTGAATAATGACAAATAAAAGTGCACAGATTAGAAAGCATGCTTTTAATAAGAGTGATTTTACTTCCTTTGGACAAGCGTCTACCCTTTCTAGCGAACTAGCTTCTTTCTAAAGCACTCAGTAATAGGATCCCAAATGACTTTAGATCTGTAGTTGGCACCCAAGGGAAGGTCAATGTCTTTAGAAGGCAAGGATCCTACTTGGCAACCCAAGGTGGAGGCAACTGATCAATCTGAGGCACATCACCAACTGGCAAAATAAGACTTTTCTGCAAGTTTACCTTCAATCCCGAGGCTGCTTCAAAACAGATAAATAAGCAGTGTAGGAACAACAAGWCATCCTGCTTGGTTCTAGTGAAAACTAAGGTATCATCTGTGAATTGGAGCAAGCTAATCTAAGGACCCTCCTCCCCAAACTAGGTTCTTGTCAGCAAATAGGCAATAGCTGATTATGGAAAGAGGCAACCCCCTCTGCAATCTCTTGCTGGGATTCCAGAAGCTTCCTATTAGTGGAGATGGAAGTTATCTAAAGAAGGATGATTGGATGTAGTTAGACAAATTGCAAGTCCTATTAATTTTACTGATTTAGAGCACTTGTTGCACTGCTAAAGGAGATTCTGGATCATCAGAGTTTTTGCTTTGGGCTATCCTCTAAATCATCACGTACTATGTCTTGACAATTGTGTATGTATTCCATGCTCACTGGCGTAAGTTGGATTAACGAACTTATACAATTTATCCTCCATGAATTAAGTTTACTTTCTATATATAAGTATACATCAGTGTCATCTAAATGAACTCTAATATTACCGTTCAAAGAGAAAAGAATGGAATAATGTGGATGATATTTTAGTTATTCATGTAATCTCACTTAGCTTTGTGAAATCTGACATAGACTGAATTCTTCTTTTGCTTCATCAGAGTTGGTGGAATAACTATCCTAAGGAAGGGAAAATGTGATATCATCAGTGATGGTGAAACAGGTAAAAAATTACAAGGTTAACAAATCTCTTTCTACCATTTTAGTTTTATGCTCTCTCTTTTTGTCTTTGAAGGCTTCAGTAGTGCATGTAGGATGTCTGCCAATTCTCTCATAAAATAGAGAACTTATTTCATTGTTATATCTAGGATGATGTTATAGGAGAGAAGACCTAAAAGATTATCTACAAAGGCATAACAAGTCATAAAGCGCATGTAGTCTGTAGAAAGGTGGGATCACATGTCCTTTGAATATGTCCTCTCTTACATTTGACTTTGTAGAAAGGTAGGATCACATCTCAACAATTTAGAAGAAAGTTGTAGACAAATATTCTATTTGTCTATTGTGACTTGGGAGAAGGATTTAAAAGGTTTTTTTGGATGGTTAGTGTCATCCATGATGGTGGGGCCAATTGTGAGCTCGACAGATCTCCTTGGTTAGACTGGATGTATTGGCTATTGGATGTCTAAATCCTATCTGCTGTATGTGCAGCACATACAAAAGTGGGTTCCTTATATTGCTTCCACTAGCTGCATGCTCACCATTAATTTGTTTTCCTATTATGTATTCTCTAGAGTATGATCACTTCTAACTACTTTGAATTCTAACCTCCAAATATTTATGTAGTTCACGTGGTGAGCGTATTTGGATCCCCTCGGCGTTGTGGTGGTCAGGGTGATATTCTATCTGGAAGGTACATCTTTTGATTGGTTGGTAGGCTAACAGCTGAAGTTCTCTTGTATATTCTGGCTAATGGCATATTTGTGCAATGTGCATCTCAATTCATTATAAGATATCACAATATATTTTTATGAATTAACCATATTGTACTACCTTAGAGCTAAGTAGATGAAGTAGAGAGTTGCTTCTAGAAATTGGGAAGCTTTTTATTGGAGTATAAACACAATCATACTTTTTTTTTGATAAATAAATTCATTTCATTAAATTAATGATTGGTTACAAGAAAATCCCTTTAGAGGCACGAGGTGCCACCTCTCCTAACAGCAAATACAAGAACTATAACAGAAATTACATGAATGTTGATGTTAAAACAAGAGTTACAGTTGTGCCCAGAACAATGTTTCCTTATTTATCCCTTGTTTAGCTAAGACATCTGCAAATGCATTAGCTGATCTCCCAACCCACTGTACTGTTATAGACATATTTCTTGTTAGCCATTTGAATTTCTTTAACTCATTTTTGTAGCCCCACGTGACGTCCTCCGGATTATTTAACCAGCCCACCACTGTCTTAGAATCCCCTTCAATCAGAAGCTGCTCCATGGCCACTTCTTTTGCAAGAAGTATTCCTTGTATTGCAGCAGACAGTTCTGCCTGGATAGAGTTCCCAACACCTAAAGGGCCAGAGAAAAGTAAGAGAACCTCTCCAGCCTCATTCCTCAGTACACCTTCCATCCCAGAGGGACCCGGGTTACCCTGGCTACTCCCATCAAAATTCAGCTTCAAAGAACCAAGAGGAGGGGGGACCCAGCTAGTCAATACCCTTACCTTGTAGGAGGAACAACTTGCTACCAATTTCCAATCCTTCCAACAATTAAGTAAAAGAGAAATGGTTAAATAATTCTAGAGTCTTTAACCAATGTATTGACCTGGACATAATGCAGTCCTTCAAGGCTTGACTGCTCCTCCCTAGCGTTCCTTTCTTCCCATATTGTCCATAACAACGCTGCTCGCGTGCATCTCCACATTTTCCTTCTTCTTTTATGGGGCCAAGAGAAAAAAGAAGGGTTAAAGATTGTGCTTACTTCTGTTGGCATATCCCAACTATACCCAAACAAAGATAGAAGCCAAGCCCAGAGCTCTGCAGTTACACTACAAGATAAAAATAGATGATTACAATCTTCACCACGAGATCTGCAAAGAATGCACCAGTTTGATGAAACACAAAGGCCGGGTCTTCTCTTTTGTAGGTTATCCATCGTGTTTACTTTACCATGCCACACTTCCCAACACAAAGCCATTAACCTTGGGGGGGACCGGCCTACACCAAACTTCTTTGGAAGGGAAACTTTGTTGAGAAGAAGTTTGGCAGAGGAACTTGGAAAAGGAGCCACAAGAAAAAGACCCACTGGGGTGAATGGCCCAAATTCTTTTATCAGGTTTCGAGGGATCCAGCTAAACCTTATCAAGGAGACACAGAAGAGTAGACAAACACTCAATTTCCTCATCCCTTAACCCTCTACGGAAACCAAAATCCCAAGACAACGCTGACAAATTTAAAATCGACAGAAGGAATTTTGAGATCACCTCTTTTTTATACAAAGAAATAGAGTACAAAGTAGGAAAAAGGTCTATTAGAGGGAGATCTCCAACCCAAATGTCCTCCCAAAACCGAATAGAATTACCAGAACAAGCATCATACTTGACACAACTGAGGAACTGCGGAAGAATTTTGTGAATTGCTTTCCATGGTGTGGCTAGGTTAGCCCTCCTTGATGTACCAGCATGCCAACCACTCTCTGAACCTCCATGAATACTCTTCACCACTACATGCTATAGTCTATCTCGCTCCAAAGGCCACCTCCACAACCACTTCCCTAACAAAGCTGAATTCTTTTTAAGCACATTCCCGAGTAATCTCCTTCCTCTTTGCTTCTACCCACAACCCCCCAATTAATTAAATGATCTTTTTTACCTTCTCCTGGTTCCCAAAGAAAATCTCTCACCAATTTTTCCAATTTCTTTGCTTCCCTAGACAGTATCCTAGAGATAGAGAGGTAATATGTAGGTAGATTCATGAGGGTAGCTTTTATCAAAGTGATCCGCCCACCCAAAGAGATATAATTTTTCTTCCACACTACTAATCTCTTTTCGATCTTCTCCAAGACTGGGGTCCAGAACCTACTCTCCCTAGGGTTTGCTCCTAATGGAAGCCCTAAGTAGGACAAAGGCCAAGAAGAAATGGAATACTCAAGACACTCTGCAATCGCCTCAACCTCAAAGTCTAGATTTACTCTGGCTATGCAGCTTTTTCCTAGATTGATTTTCAGATTGGAAACTCCTTCAAAATCTCTAATCAATTCTTTCAGGTTTTCCACCTTCTCACCGAAGCCTCCCTCACAAAAGATCATCAAGTCATCTGCAAACTGAAGGTGAGTTACTGGAATTTTGTTTGTGCCTACTCTCCATCCCCTTATCTCCTCTTCCCTGTTAGCCCTAGTGATAATTCGACTTAACACATTAGCAACCAAGGTAAAGAGAAAAGGTGAAAGTGGGTCCCCTTGTCTAATACCCCTACTAGTTGGAAAAAAATCTCTCACCACCCCATTTACTAGGGTGGAATAATGACAAGAGCAGACACAACCAGATACCCAATTGCACCATCTTTCCCCAAACCCACACTTCCTCAAAACCTCTAGTAGGAACTGCCGGTCCACCAAGTCATAGGCTTTCTCAAGATCAAGCTTACAAACAAAACCTCTCTACTTGGACCTCTTCATCTCTTCCACACATTCATTGGCAATCAGGATCTGATCAACTATTTGATGCCCTTGGATGAAAGCCCCTTGAGCTTGACTAATAATGGAGGGAAAGACTTCTTTAATCCTCAAAGAGAGGACCTTGGCTAGGATTTTATAGATACTAGTCACCAAACTAATTGGCCTAAAATCTTTAGGATGGATAGCATCAGCTTTCTTTGGAACAGGGGCCAAGAAAGTAGCACTAATGCCTTGACTGACTATATGAACAATCTTGGTAAAAAGCCATTGTAAAACCATTTGGGCCTGGAGCTTTGGATCTATCCATCAAAAACACCGCCTTCCTAATCTCTTCTTCCTCAAAATTTCTTTCCAACCATCTAACATGATCTTCCTCCAACCTTTGCCAATCTACCCCTTCTATTTCCATCCTCTCTTCCAAGGGTCTTCTGTAAATCGATTTGAAATGATCCACAAACTTCATGGCAATATCATCCTGATTAGTGAATGCCTCCCCTCTACCTCTAACTTAGACACAATGTTCTTTCTCCTCCTCCCATTTGCTATATCATGAAAAAACTTAGTGTTTCCATCACCTTCCTTAATCCACCTATGCCTCGATTTCTGCCTCCAGCTTATTTCTTCCCTCAGTTGGACCTCTCTTCTAGGTCCTTCTTCAACTGTTCCCTTAGATCTCTCTCCCCCTCCTCCATTCTAGATTGGGCCTCTCTTTCATCCAACTCTTCTATCCCGGAGATTAGATTCACTTTTTGCTCCTCAAGTCTTCCATAGTGTTCCTTGTTCCAATCTTTTATTTTGGCTCTCAACCTCTGCAGTTTCTTGTGAAATCTTACCCCTTTCCATTTTATCTCCCTCAATTCCTCATTCCACCAAAGCTTTACTTTATTTACAAAGTCCAGGTGGGTTAGCCAGATATTGTCAAACCTAAAAGGTCTAGGTCCACTGGTAAAGTCTTCCACACCTATTCTTATAGGACAATGATCCAAGGTTAACCTAGGCACAGCTTTAGACACCAAGTTTCCCCAACAGTTCTCCCAATCAACCTTAAAGATAAATCTATCCAATTTCGACCACAAGGGAATTTCCTGTAAATTAGACCAAGTAAATCGAGCTTGCAGTAACGGGACCTCCTTGAACTCACAATCAACAATAAAGCTATTAAACTTTCTCATGCTAGTTGTGATGGTTTGTTGGGAATTATTAGTTTCTTTATAAAATCTTATCACATTGAAATCCCCTCCCAGGCACCATGGGCCTTTCCACAAACCCTGAATTGCATACAATTCCTCCCACATGTCATTCCTTTCTCTATAATTATTGGGACCATAGGTATTAGTTAACACCCAAGTGAAGTCATCCTCTACATTTTTAAATTTGATGGAAATTGAGAACCTCCATATTAACTCCTCCACTACCTCTACTACATCATCTTTCCAAAGAGTTATAATCCCCCCCGAGGCTCCCCAAGATGGGGCTGAAGTCCATCCTACTCCTCTAGACCTCCACACACTCCTCACCCATCTTCTGTCCAGATTTGACAACTTTGTTTCTTGCAACATAACTGATGAGGGCAGATTTGGCCCTCCAATGAAATTGTCACACGTGGCACCTCGTGACAACTAGGCGACACCCAGGCAACAACTTACCAAGTTGGTCCCACCCGGGCACCGGCCTAGAGCGGCTTGGCGCGACTTGCACGCGGCCTACGAGCGGCCTTCATGCGGCCTGCGTGCTGCCTGGCACGCG